ACCTTGGAGATATTGTGGGTTCAGTTCTAGACCATCACAATAAAGTGAATATTGCAATAAAGTAAGTCACACAAATTTTATGGTTTCCCAATGCATATAAGAGTTATGTTTATGCTATACTGTAGTCCTTTAAGTGTGTAATAGCTTTATGTTTAAAAACACAATAGTGTGAAAAAAACCCCGCAATATCTGCAAAGCACAATAAAGCAAACTGCAGTAAAATAAGGTATGCCTGTATACCTTTTAAAATGCACTTGAGCCTTTCTAGCCCCTTTGAGAATTAAGAAGTAGTTTGCACACCCTCTGCAATCCAAAATGGATGGCACATCCATGCACACACATGCAGGACTAGGTTCATGTATTGTCTAACCCACACATTCAAGTCCTGCAAGATGCAGTAAAACCTTGTAGTCAGGTTCATTCTATTTCAGATGGAGAAATTGTTTGTAATGAACGAAAAATGAACATTATTAGCCATGTGCTTTTATAATTCGGTAGATAACATATGAAATCACCAATGTTGTCCACTAATGATGATTACCATCAAGACCAACACAACAAAACCAGAAACAGTATTTCCTCCTTTTTTTTTTTTTTTTTTTTTTTTTTTTTTTTTTTTGAGACAGAGTCTCGCTCTGCCACCCAGGCTGGAGTGCAGTGGCACAATCTCAGCACACTGCAACCTCTGCCTCCCGGGTTCAAGCGATTCTCCTGCCTCAGCCTCCTGAGTAGCTGGTATTATAGGTGCCCGCCACTACACCCAGTTAATTTTTTTGTATTTTTAGTAGAGATGGAGTTTCATCCTGTTGACCAGGCTGGTCTCGAACTCCTGATCTCGTGATACACTTGCCTCGGCCTCCCAAGTGCTGGGATGACAAGCGTGAGCCGCCGCGCCCGGCATATTTCCTCCTTTTTACATTTCATAGCTGATTCTTCCCCTTCAACCCAAAATGCAAACATAGGCTTTAAGAGATGTCATTTCATTTCAGAATGACTCCCACATCGAGCTGTGACTTGGAGGCCCAGCCAAGGGCAGGCTTGTTGCCCAGTGCTGTGGAGACAGTACACTTGGGGATGTCCTTCCACACCATTTATCGTGATGGCCTGAAACAAAAGCACATCACCATGTCCTTTTGATTATAGCACAGATGGAATACAAATGATGACCTCCAAGACTCCACCTGACCTTGCTCCACCTACCTCCCCAGCCTCTCCCACCCAACTCTCCAACACCTCTGAGTTCCGGACACAAGAGCCTTCCTTCAGTTCTGCAAACACACCCCACTTCTCCCACTCACAGCCACCTCAGCACCTCCGCAGGATGTTGCTGAATTTACAATCGCCTCCTCCCTTTCTCTCCCCTCCCACGAGCCTTTGCTTTGCCTGGTTAACATCCACAGGATTGCAGACGACTTGTCACTTTCTCCAAGAATCCTTCCTTGAACCCCAGATTTCTCCTCGTGAGACTTAATAACTTGGTGTCTGAATTCCCTGCTAGATGCCAGCTCTATGAGGGCAGAGACAGACCTTGGCTTATTCCTGCCACGTCCCTGGCAGCCAGCACAGAGAAGGGAGCAAATGTTCAGTGCGAGAATTACGAGTGCGACCCTGACACGGGCTGTGTCTTCTGTCTGTGTCACGCTGTCTGCCCAGTGTAAACGCTAAAAAAATGCTTGCAGAGTGAATGAATGGATGAATCGATGAGTTGTTCAGAAAGAATTGTTCACATCAACACAATTTAGCATTAAAATACTCACTATAAAATCATAAATATTATTATTTTTATCATTTAAGTTCCATTCAAGTGTTTTTCCCCCAGTTGGCCAAAAAGACAATTCTCAGGCTAGGCATGGTGGCTCACAGCTATAATCCCAGCACTTTGGGAGGCCAAGGCAGGAGGATCACCTGAGGTCAGGAGTTCGAGACCAGCCTGGCCAACATGGTGAAACCCCGTCTCTACTAAAAATACAAAAATTAGCCTGGTGTGGTGGCAGACGCCTGTAATCCCAGCTACTCAGGAGGCAGGAGAATCTCTTGAACCCGGGAGGCAGAGGTTGCAGTGATCTGAGATCGTGCCACTGCACTCCAGCCTGGGTGACAGAGCGAGACTCCGTCCCCCAAAAAAACAAAAAACAAAGAACAACAATTCTGGGATGGCTGAAAAATGCTCCAGCCCGCAGAAAGTGAACTGGGAATCTTTGTAAGGGCAGGCATCATTTCTCCCAGGACTGGAGGCCTTTTAAGTGACTCATAGTTCCCAAGATCTGAGAGGCTTCTCATTTGGCCCCGTCTCATGACCCATTTCTGAACATCTGTGTTGATTTTTTCTTGCTTTTTTTTTTTAAAAAAATCCATTTGGCTCAGTGCTGAAGGTAAATGAGAAGTTTCACATTCTATCCTAACGGCTAATAGAATCTGGTTGTACTGGATGTGGCAATTCAACAGTCCAGCGACGTGGCTTCTCCTAAGAAAATATCCTTTCTCCTTATTGCCCTAGAATCCCAAGGACCTATGAGGAAAACCTCCAGGGTCCAAAGTCTGAGTTTAAAGAGAGAAATTTTTCACATACATGCGGCACCCAAAACAATCCTACACACACCCAACATGCACACAGCACCCAAAAATAACCCCTCCACAGACCCAACGTGCACCCACACCTAATTCTCACCAACAACCCAACACACACGTGCAACACCTGCATGTGCGACACACACACACCCGCAACCCCCATCCCCACCCTCACGTACACAACCCGCCACACCCCAGCGCACACCACACACACCGGGGCCTGACACTCCTCAGTCCTGGGCTGAGGGTCTCCTGGAGGCCCAGCTTCTCTCTTCTTTCTGTACCCCGTTCCATCATCTCATCCAGGCCCTATTGGAGGTAATTTGCCATTATTCTAAAAGTTATTTTAGTTTTGATTAGGGAAGACTCTAAAGTAATGTCAATTCTTAGAAAAATTATAATGAAAGGCTAGGCAAGGTGGCTCACGTCTGTAATCCCAGCACTTTGGGAGGCCGAGGTGGGCAGATCACCTGGGGTCAGGAGTTTGAGACCAGCCTGATCAACATGGTGAAACCCTGTCCCTACTACAAATACCAAAAATTAGCCGGGCGTGGTGGTGCATGCCTGTAATCTCAGCTACTTGGGAGACTGAGGCAGGAGAATCACTTGAACTCGGGAGGCAGAGGTTGCAGTGAGCCAAGATCACACCAATGCACTCCAGCCTGGGTGACAGACAGAGACTCTGTCTCCAAAAAAAAAAAAAAGAAAGAAAGAAAGAAAAAAAGAAAAAGGAAAAATTCTAATGAAAGCAAATGAGGGGGTTGGCCTCCTGGTGGCTTTTGGACGCTCGTCTTGGGGATTGTGGCAGTTGGATGCCACAGCAAATTGGCTGTGGATTATTTAGTAGTTCTGATTTTTCATACAACTGCCTCTGTTACCCCTTTTCTCATTTTTTCTTACCAGATGGTAGAATTGCCCTTCTCACCTTCTACCGTTACGTCCTCCTATCAGGAAAGCAAACTAGTGCGTTAAATCACCGTGATCACGACCACAAATGTGTGAATGGGGGAGGGAACCCTTTTCTCCATGAGGCCATGAAAGCGGAGGGAGGTTAGGCGTGTGCATTGCCCCAAATTTTCCAGTGAAGGAGGATCCCAAGAGAAGGGAAAAGTGGTCTCCTTTTTTGACACCCACACTCCTCTGTCCCCACACAGGGCACTGGGCTCTGCACGTTTGCTGTGTCCAAAGCATTGTCCCCTGCAGAAGGTGCACCCCAGTCCTCCCTCCACCTCTTGCTGCACTCGGACAGGAAGGCAGCGAAGCCAGCCGCTCCAGCCTCAGAGCAGGCACTCAGGGCGCTGACGCTCACCCTGGCCCCGAAGCATCTGTGGAGGAGAGGCTGTGAGTCCACCCTTGTCTTCTGCTTATCCCAGTTGTCCTACCTCATTTCTTCTTTTAATTTCTATTACGGAAAGTTCCTAACAGGAACAAAAGTACAGAGAATTATATAAAAAATTCCCACATGCCCATCGCCTACCTTCAACAATAAACACCTTGTAGCTAAATTTATTATTTTGTATTCCTGAGCTCACTTACTTCCGTGAATTATTTTGAAGCACATTTGGAAAATCATGTTAATCTGTAATTAAAAATATATATAACATCAAAAGGCATGGACGACACTCCCTTTTTAAAATAACCACAATACCATCACCACACACAGAAAATTAAGATTTCTTTAATGTCAACACCTATCCTATCTGTGTTTGCCTTTCTCCAACAGTCTCATGCACATTTTAAGATTTGCTTGCCTCAACTGGGATCCAAACGAGGTCTACACTTTGCTCTGAATTCACGCTTGGCAAATACAATGATTTGTAGAACACACTGATACATATGGTGGAGTGGTTGAGAGATAGCCAGCGGTGGCCGCAGCTGCCAATCTCCAATAGAAGGCTGGCGCTGGTGCAGGGCAGAGCTTAGGGCGAACGCTGGTGGGCTGGGGGACAACACGGAGGAGGGAGATTTGTTCTATTCAGTGCCCAGTTTACTCCACCGCTGAGGGCCAGTATAGTGAAGTGAAAAACCAGTTTCACACACTGTGATGAAATTCTATAAACTCAGGATTATCCTGTCAAATCAAGATGACATGCCTCCCATTGTTTAAAAACACTCGAATGGATGGAACTTAGCAAATACTGCTAAGAACAGAACCCGCCGGGCTACGCTGCAGCGTCTCAGACGTGTTTCCACTCGCTGCTGCGACGTGTTTGTCAAAGTTTCCTGAGAGCTGCGGAGCGATCAGAGACGAGAAGAGAAGCACTTCCGCCTCCCCTGAGGAGCGATAACCTCAGCCAAGCAGAAGACACTTCAAACAAACAAACAAACAGACAAACAGACAGACAGACGGACGGACGGACGGACGGACGGACGGACAGACAGACAGACAGACAGACGGATCTCCCCACTCATTCCACTGGTCTCGTGCTTACCTTTCATTTTTCTTGGCCTCTCGCTTCCCGTCTCTCTCTCAGGTGGCATCTTAAAGGACTCGATGTTGAAATGGTAGCAGGCAGCAGCCCATCTTGAGGTAGCATTAGGGTTTGGGAGGAAAGATCTCGAAGATTGAATGTGCTTAGCCATCTTACACATCGAACCTGCATTGTTCCTCGGTTTTCCTGCGGAGGAGGATGCCCCTGTGTGGGACTGGCATCCTCTGAGGACTGCAGGACTGTACCCGGGTGATGAGAAAGAAAGGCAAGGCCACAGCACTATTGCAGTGCTCTCCGCAAAAGTCCAGCCTCGAGCCCAATGCTCGATTTTCCACTAAGCTGAGAGCATTTAACACCAGAAAGCCATTTCAGTTTCTGCTTATTTCTTCTCTACAGATTTCGAGGGGTGAAAAAGCACATTCCAGAAGAGGCAGTGGAAAATTCTAAAATAAAAGTGAGGCAGAATCAGAGGGAGGGGCGTGTCGAGAACGCCCCTACCATCTTGAACAGAGCAGAAGATGGCTCATGTGTTGACAGCTTCCAATCCCCCAGTTCCAGCGCAGATTTTCCAGGGGGAGGAAGATTACAGAGTCTGGATTCCTCTTCCATGATTCCAGCACCTCTAATGTCGTAGGGTCATGTTATGAGCACCCTAAAGATGGCACTTCGGCACATGGTTCTCTAAATTCTGACCATTCCGTCTTGTTTTACATCCTCTGCTTTTCCAAATCCTAAAGCCCTGTGACACACCAGTGATGGAGCCAGCAGCCAGTAAGCATCTTTCAAGAGAGGCAGGCCAGCAGGGTCACCAGACCACCTTTCCCCAACTTCATCCCAGATGCCTGGTACTGTCAAGACTGCAAGCACTGAAACGTGACCCTGGTGTCTCAGGCTAGAACAGCAAACCCCCAACTGAGTTTTTAAATTCTCAACAATTTGTGGAAATTAGGAGATGTTGTATGAGCATGTATTTTACAGGACTTCCTAGAATGCCTTTTTGAGAACTCTGGAAGGGGAAGGAGGAAATATCACCCTAGGAGAAGTAGAATTAAGTGTGTACTCTCTCCTGTCTCTCTTTTTCTCTCCTTCCTTCCACCCCATTGAGAAATCTACAAGCCTGAAACCTGGCCGTCCATCATCTGACCCCGTAAATTTGCCTTTCTGAGATAATAAGATGACACAGCCTTTGCCAGGTCAGATGCTACTTTCATAAAAACTGCTGAGGTGGTGACCCAATGCCATGAATCAGGATATAATCAAATTTCATATTTCTTCCGTGAGCTTCAGCAATGACGCCCACTTTTCATGGATTGTTAATCAGGGAAGACTCATAAACACCTCTCAGAATCACCTAATTCAATCCTCAGAACAACAATCTAGGTGAGATGGTTTTGTCCCATTACAGGCGAGCTCCAGGCACAGAGAACCAAAGGGTTTCCACAGGCAACACGCGTAGAAGGGATTGTAACCCACAACCATCTGAACCCAAGCCCTAAGCTTCAAACCAGACACTGTGTTGCTTCTGCTTTATACCCAGGCCCTGGCTGAACACCTTGACTTTACCAGGCATGCAAGGAGGTTCTAAGTCCACTTTGGCTGGAGGCAAGAATTAAGTAGAAGTAACCTGGGTGTTACTAATAAGTTCAACCAGGGCCCAGCAATCAAGGAGGGCTTCGTGGAAGAGGTGGAACTTGGAGTGGCCTGGAAGAATCGCATAGAATCAGCAAAACCATGGAAGTGACAATGAGCAGGGAACACACACAGTCCCACTGTGATAGGATGCACGTGGGTGATGAGCAGGCATGTCCTCAGATGGGTAGGCAGGACCCTGGAAAACAGGAAGTGGAGTCTGTGTTTGATAGCAGAAGCAGTGGCAACCACTGTCATCTCATTCATTCATTTAGTACTTATTTGTTGAGGATATTCTGTCAGGTGCAGTTCTTAGTGGTAGGGACCTAGCAGTGAGTAAGCCAGGCTGAGTCCCTGCCCTCACAAACCTCAAGATCCAGTAATGGGCCAGATGGACATGGACGATGTTTAATAGATCAAGTGGAGTTCCCCTTCAGTTGACATTCTATTTCTAAAGATGTCCCTTCTAACAGATCTCTAAATGACCACGGCCCGAAGTGGCAGTTTCAAATGATTGTTTCAACTCTGCCCTCCACACATCAAATCCCAACTCTCTCACGCTAAAGCATCATAATATGTTTGTGCTGAGAGTTGTCTTAGAAATCATTTTGGGCCAGGCACAGTGGCTCAAGCCTATAATCCCAGCACTTTGGGAGGCCGAGGCGGGCGGATCACGAGGTCAGGAGATCGAGACCATCCTGGCGAACACGGTGAAACCCCGTCTCTACTAAAAATACAAAAAATTAGCCGGGCGAGGTGGCGGCGCCTGTAGTCCCAGCTACTCGGGAGGCTGAGGCAGGAGAATGGTGTGAACCCGGAAGGCGGAGCTTGCAGTGAGCTGAGATCCGGCCACTGCACTCCAGCCTGGGCGACAGAGCGAGACTCCGTCTCAAAAAAAAAAAAAAAAGAAATCATTCTGTATTAAGTTCACAGTGGAAGAAACAGAAAGCCCCCAGAGGTGACCTCATTAGCCTACAGTTGCTCTGAGAACTGGTGGCAGAAGCAGATTCGTTTCCAGCCTCCTGGTGTGCACGCCAGTGCCCTTTCCCCCAAGCCGTGTGTCCCCCGGTCGTGCCCTTTGTCCTTGCCGTCCTCTACCTTTCTCTTCCAGAAGATCACGGCAAGACGGCTGACTTCCCCAAACTGCACTCCTAGCTCCCTGGGACCCAGCAGGGACCCTGCCCTCCAGCCAGTGGTTTGAAGAAGGACAGCCACCATCAAACACAAACTTACAGCCTCCCTGATGCCCTGGATGCCAGAAAATGTCTGGACCAGTCAAGATAAGAGCCAGGCAGAGCCAGGAAGAAATGGGGACAGGGGTTCCTATTTAAATATATAAAGAATTCTTTCCCAGGTGGGGAAAAGTCATCTAGCAGTGTGAGTGATCACCTCTCCATATATCTGTTTGACCAACTGGAGTTTCTATACAGAAGGTTTATACAAGGAAGCCACAAACCACCATTGTCACAATGACCCTACATAACCCCTTGTGTAAATGTTCTGGAAATGTACCCAGAAGTCTGGAGAAGGTCCAGTCAAACTGGGTGCAGGAAGAAGAAAGCTCTGGTCTCAGGTCTTCGACAGAATCCCCTGGACGCTGGGATTGCCACCATGCTAAGCCGAGGAGGCATCTGAATGCGCGGGAATGCAGGGAAGAGAACAGCATGTAAGATTCATTAACCAATGACAAACACGCCGGGTTCACTGCTGGTCTCCACAGCTGGTTGGTTCAGTGTGGCTCAGTTGCCTCTTTCTCTCTACTTCTGGTCTCAGAAAATAAAGAGAGAGAAGCTGAGTGCTCATGGAGTTTCTCAGAGACTCAGCAAAAACTAGGCTTTGTGTTCTGAGATCAGGAAATAATAGTGAGAGCCCAAAATTTTCTTCCCTGACAACGTCTCCAACTCAAAGAGGGCCTGGAAGTCACCCCACTAGAAGCAAAGCCTTGATATTTTCAAGCTCGTAGTTTATTGCTTCTTCTCCCATCTGCCCGTTGACAGATAAATCACAGGGGGAATAAAAACAACACAGCCCTCAGCAGATGACTCTTCACTGAAGAACACGAGTCTTTTAACTCTCTGCTACGGAAACAGCTTTCTGCTGGCTGATGGCTCATCGCGCTGCACTAGGAGAGCCCGCACACCTCGAAGCTTCGTCAGGCAAAGCCTGTGATTTCACAGACCCAGAAATGTTTGCTTTCTCTAAGCCAGTAACATAGGCTTGGGTTTATACCAACTCTAGCAGAGGTGCACAGATTACAATGGGGCATGAAGTTCAGAATAATAGAAAGTAGAGAGTTGGAAAGCACAGGAGAACCCATTTAGACGAAGCTGTTTTGTTAACAAAGGAGCTCCCTGACCCGGAGAGGTTGAGGGTTTACTGTGAGTCAGTGCCCCTGGTTAAAGGCAAAGGCAGCTTGAGAAGCTGTCCTCTGATCCCCAGCCTCCTAGGACTCTTGCCTCTATCTCACACTGCCTTGAGGCCAGGAGCTGATATTGATTGAACAGATGTGAAAGCAGAAGGAAAAAGTATTGCAGTGACTGCCCTCTAACAGATTCACACTTTCTGTGGACCAATTTTCTTTGTCATTATCTGGGAGAAGAAAATGTCCAGAAGAGCATTTTAAATTCAGGAAGCGGTTCTGGAACCAGAAGAAGACATACCTTGATGACAGTAATATTGTCTACGTGAGAAGGAACAAGCTCTTGAATGCTTTCTAGAAAACCCAAATATGATAGGAGACCATAAAAAATTATCCTTCGTCATACGGACTTCCAGTTTGAGAAAACTCAGTGGCTAAACAAAGGTGCTGCCTGAGAGATGCAGACAGAAATCAGCCTTTAAGAGCAGGTTGCTACACTGAAGAATGAGAAGAGGAATGGGGCCCAGAGGCTGAAGGTCGGGACCGTCTCCCTTCCCAGATAAGCACCTGGACCATCGTTCGTCAGAAGCCGTGTGTAATTACCAGCTCTCTTTGGCTGCAGAGGGCATGCCCAGGAGGCTTGGAGAAGCAGGAATTTCAAACATGCTCGCTTCAGAGCCAAGATTGGCAACACCATCAGTTACTGTTTGGGCTTTGGGAAGCCGTGGGCCGCGGCGCTGGGTCTGGTGTCCTGGGCTCTGTGGGACCTCGGCAAGGCTGTTTCCTGAAATGAAAGCTCCTCTTCTGAGGGATGACACACCAGGCCCACCTGCAGACGATGTTTATGAATCCCCCAGCAGGAGTGGATTGATCTTACAATGGGACTGTGTAACATCAACATTTCATTATTCTACAAAAGAATATGCACAATGCCACCTAAGGTCCTCTAAGAATAGGTTTGGGGAGTAACAATGAGAAAACGCCACTCAAAAAGCAGTAGAGCCTCGTTCCTTTTACACGACGTTAATATTAACTTTACCTACAGGGGAAAAATGGCATTTTACCTCGAGAGTTATTCGTAAGCTCTCTCCACACCATGAGATAAAATTAGTGCAGGGCTCAGAGCTCTCAATTTCCTCATTTGGGGGCTAATAGACTTTAATGGGGGCTCTTCTTGGCACGTGAATGAACGTGTGTGTCTCTGAGTGCGTGTCTGTGTGTGTACACACGTCCCTTTGAAGTGTATTTACTTGGTAGCACTAACTGTAAAAGGGCATACCCAGGGGAATTTAATGAGGAGACATGCTAGAATATAGACATTAGAAAGGAAATTAGTATTTTCCCCATAAAAGCAAGTAGGTGAAGTCAAGTATGAGGAAAGAAGGAAAGAAAAAGGAAGGCAGGGAAAGAGGGACGGAGAGGAGAGGAATGGGTTTTGATGATCGTAGATAAGAACCAATAAACACTTTTGCTTCACACTCCTGAGCACAACTTGGCAGAATTTATTTATTGGGAATCAATTGCTTTTAACCTAATACAATCTATTCAGTGCTTATTAGACCTCAAAAAAAAAATCATTTGCTAGAGATGCAATTCGAAAACAACACTGACTTCTAAACCAAATGGATGTTTTCTAAACCAGGTGAGATGTGGGTTAATTGAGAGCTGAGTCTATTCTAGAAGCAGCAGGAAAGAAGACGACAAGCCCTTTGGTTTTGTCTGGACACCGTCCGGAGAGGTGCCTCCAGCAGCTGGGGGTGTGCATTCCAGTGAAGTGAAATTGCGCTGTGTTTGGGTATAAACAAACTCCATGTGGCGTTGGGACTTAGGACCACTGGAACTGCCTGTGGGAACACGTACAAGCTCAGATACTACAAACTGCCTTCCTGTGGTAACCATAACATAACTACTTTAGGTGATTACACATCTGCAAATGAAAATAAACTGTGAACGAGGCCTCACTTCACACTGCATCAAAGGCTCCAGGACGTCCTTCAGAACAAACAGCAAGGCGAGGAATGCCTCCTACGTTAGGAAATCTCTCTCCACAGACCTGTCCTTGCCTGCATCTTCTGCCGATGACCTCACACCTAGATCATGATGGTCCATTAGCAGAAGGGGAGGATGGCTGGCAAAGAATGCTGCAGAGACAGGAGGCCCGTGTGAAATCATTGGATCTAGGGCTTCAATCCCTGGTTACCTGACCTGGAATTATTCTCTTAACCTCACTGACCTTCCGTATTTTCATCTCTTCATAGTAATAGTTGCCCAGCCCACGCCAGCAAAGAAGGCATGAGGCAAACAAGGAATTGTGGAGGCATGCTTTCTGAAATGCCACATCCTGCAATCCATGGTCATCGGAGTCTTTCATTCTTTGAAGTCATCCTTATCTTTGGAAGAGGGAAAATTGAGACCTGTACTTCATCAGTCCAAGTCGAGGGTTTAATGTATTGCTTGACATTCTGTTCCACGCGTGGTGAAGATGAATTCTCGCTCTGATGAAGAACTAAGCCCAAATCGAGGGTTTAATGTATTGCTTGACGTTCTGTTCCACGCATGGTGGAAGATGAATTCTCGCTCTGATGAAGAACTAAGCCATGGGGTCTTTGTCTGCAGAGAGAAGCTACCAGTGCCACAGACGCAGGCCTGCAGGGCGGTTCTCCCTGCAAAAGGCCACGGTTTGTGTCACCTTGACCACGGCCAGGACAACGTCTTCTTTGGCAAATAGTCTAGGAGGTGAGCCACAGGATTCATTCTGCAGTCAAGTCACTGAAATTCCAGCTGGAATAAATGTTCTTTTGTGGAAGAAAACAGTGTCCCTCGTTTCTTATGTAT